CTCCCCACTCTGTCTCTGGTGAATCCTCTCATACCCCACACCTCTGGCCTACGTCCCAGTTCTCTTATGCATAAATAACTAAAAAATATATTTAAAAAAGAGTGGTTATAAAACTAGTCTGAATTTCAGTAAGCCTGTATGTCCACCTTCTGGGGTACAGGCCATAGAGAGGTGGTTCTGGCCCTTGAATGTGTATCAGAATCCCCTGGAAGACGTGTTAAAAACATGCTGGGCGCATCGCCAGAGTGTCTGATTCGACCTCAGCAGAAGCTTCAAGACCTAGCACATGGTCCCACATTTGCACCTTTTCCTGAGATAAGGCCAGTAGGACCTCAGACAGGACTATTCCTTCCACCTCAGTTCCAGACAGAAGAACCAAAGCTAATCTTGAAATGTAAATGAAAGATAAACATTTCTTATCATAAGCTACTGAAGATTTTGGATCATCACAGTGAAATTTCTTCTACAGAATCTTGTATTACGCATACTCGACCGTCTACGGCATATTTGACTTGGCATAAAAACCAAAGAAAAATAAAACGATACGCAGGTGATATTCCATTTCTGTTATACTTGTTTTACATGTACATCTGTGCACTGTTCATAACACATCAAGAGCTATGTGGCCTTGTACAAACCACTTCACCTCACTGTCCACAAAGTAGGCAGCAGATACGGTCAAGGGCTATTATCCAGTAAGTCTGGACAAAGATCACCCTGTTCAAAAGTTAGTCAAAAGAAGATGTATAATATACGTATATAGATTAATGTAAATGAATATAATGAAATTCAAGCCAACCACAGAAGAGACACTCTTAGGAAAATGATTGACTACAGAATCCAAAAGAGAGATTTTATGACCATTTTAGTGTCTTTTGTAAGAAGATGAGCCTTCTATAAAACTGCAATAGAAATTCATAAGGAAATGAAAGGATTAGATAGTCAATCAGATGAAAGAAGTGTCGGCGGGGGGAGGAGGGGAGGAGGAAATGATGCAAAAATTCTAGAATCTCAACAATAGAATTTAAGTAAAATTAAAGGAAAAATAATGCTTTGGAAAACCCTATCAGTAATACTAAAAACAAACTTCAGGTGTGCTAGAATGGTAAAAGAGGATAAAGTGATGAAAGTGATAAAAAAGAACTACCACAAATAGTTGCTCTTTCTAAAGACCAGAACAAATGGAGCAGAAGCTGTTCTTGAAGACAGAAAGGAAGAAAACCTTCCTGAACTGAAGCCACATATCTGCAGATAAAAAAGACTCGCACCTCTTAACCAGACAGCACAGTAGGTGTAAGGGAATAGAAGCAAAAGCAGTATCAGTCTTCAATTACAAACATTTTAGCATGGCCAGAGCATTGCGTACAAATAGAGGCTAGAGAGCTCAGGAGGAGCTGATAATGAAAGGCCGTATGTATGTACTATGCTGAGGAATTTTCTGTACGAAACAGAAGCCCTGGTGGCCCAGGGGTTAAGTCTCAGAGCTATTACTCCTAGGGCCTGAGTAATCCCCTGCCCAGCCCAGGAGCTGACCCACAGGGCCAGCAGACCTCTCCCATCTCGTCTAGTCTCCCCCATTCCTCCCCTCAGCAGTGTATTTCAGTAGATCCTCCTGTTCTGCTCCCACTGTCTCTGATGAATCCTCTCATCCCCAGCACTTCTGGCCTTCACCCCAGCTCTTCTATGTCAAAGGGACAAACAAACAGAAACAAAAACAAATTATAAATGAGGAGGAAAATGCTAGTTGGCATGGGACTTCAGGTGGTGAGGCCTTGTAACAGTAGTTATAGAAAAGAAGAGGTGACATGGGTTCCTAAGAGGCACCAAGTCACCTGTGTTGGTGTCCATACATTTGAGTGGCATCATTCTGTTACAGTTGTGTGGCTTTTTCTTCCCAAGCAGTGCTTGGAAACATAGATGTAGGAATGGAAAATATAGATAACTGGAGCATTTGAGGGGGTGGTTTGATGTTCAGTTGCCAGCAGGCAACTGAAGGGGTTCTGCTTCTAAGTGTGTTCGAAGTCCAAGGCCAGGAACTTAGGTAGGCTGCAGGGAATGTGAAGTCTCCCTGGTCTTTGAAGAACAAGTGCATTGAGACTTAGGTAGAGCTAGGATTGCAAGGCTAAGGATTATGAGTGCAAGTAAACGGCATCTGTACGTTTACGCTCGTAGAGATGCAGCAGTTCAAGATGACAAAAGTCTAGATTTGCAGAATATGCACCTGGAAATGGCAGGGTAAAGTAGAGGTAAACTCACCTGGGTTGAGGAAGCCCTGGGTGTTAGTAGATGACAGTGTTAAGGAAAGGTCAGAGGTGGTCCTACCTGGTGGTGGCCCCTGAAAGCGCAATCTGACAAAAGGTAAAAGCTGATCAGAGTGTCATGTCACCAGACGAGGGAGCAGGTCTGGGGTCCGCCCACCTCAGCTCAGTCCCAATCTCCAGTACAAGCAGGCCTCCACAGACACCGGTGAGGGCAGGCAAGGAGTCAGCGTTTATTAATCAGTGAAAATCTTGACTTTGATTGCTTATCACTTTATTCGGCTGCATCTCTACAGCCTTAACCTTACAGATCCCGATGAATTGCATTCATAATCCTTAGCCTCGAAGTCCTCTCTCTCCCTTAGTCCTGCGGTACTTGTTCTTCAACAAAGACTATGGAGCCCTCACATTCCTTGCGCCTGCTACCTGACGAAAGTCCCTGGCCATTGACTTTGGCCACACTTAGAAACAGAACAGAGGAAGACAGCTCTGGGGAGACTTCCCTGGGCATGAGAGACTCCGAGGTGCCAGGGCTGGGGGTCTACTATATAAGTTTTTTTTTTTTTTAAAGATTTATTTATTTGTGCATACAGAACTGGGGTACAGGCCAGAGGCTCAGGGGCGGCGAGAGGCCTCACCGGAGACAGAGTGGGGAGCAGAACAGGCAGATCCACGAAGCACACTGCTGAGGGGAGCAGCGGGCGGGCCAGGAGAGGTCTGCCACGCCATGTGGTCACCTCCGGGGCAGGCGGGAATCGAACTCATGCGGAAGCGGCTCTTAGATTCTCAGTGCTGCGCTTCAACCCGCTGCGCCACCAGGGAGGGCCCTCTACTATATAAGTTTTAAGGCTGGGGCTTGAGAACAAAGGAATTAAATCTTATTCACTGGGAATGCAGGGAAAGTGGACTTGGCTAAAGTCCACTCACTATTGCTAGCTGTGAGCACCCGTCAGCAGCAGCTTGGTCATCCTGCCAGGCTCGTGACCATCTCCAAGGTGAACATCATCCAGAAGTGTGCTCACAGCTCCAGTTTGAACCGGTCTGGTCTCAAGGTCTGTGACTTTCCTTCTGGGTCTGTAACTCTCTTTTCTTCTCACAGCAGCCAACTTGATAGGCTTTGGAAAGATAGCTGAGGACTGGCAAAATTAGTAACAAGTACAATGGGGCCAAGGAAATTTATGGCAGCCCGACCTAGAGCCGGTTGTTTGTTTTTTAACCTCTTATTTACCAGCCTATGGGGAAAGCACGATTTCTGTCGTTAAGTGCTGGGCTTGTCCAGGACCCCTTCCCGTCTCACTCCCCCGGGAGCACGTTCATCCTCTATTCTGCTGGAAAGCTCCGGGAACCAGCCTTAATCTCCCATAGCCCTTTTCCAGCTAAAATGTGACTGTTGGAGGAATGAAAACCTTCAAGTGAGAAAGTGCCCAAAGCGAGGACTTTCCACCTTTGGGCTGACAGACCAACCGTGAAAAGCAAGCAAGAGGGCAGCCCCAAACGAGCGATGCTGACGCCACTCATTTAACTCGGAGCTCGGGATGGGAGGTTGTGTTTGTGGGGCAGCAGCTTCACATGAGGCCCCGGGAAATGGTTAGCGATCAGGGAGACAGGGAGAGGGGCCATGGCGGTGCAGGTAGCAGTGTCTGGTTCCCCAGGGTTCTGAGGCCAAGGTAGGGGATGGAAGGCCTGTGAGGCTCGACTGTACCAGGCCCTTAGCCTCCAGGCGCGCCCCTGACGGACGCTCCAGCCGCGCGCGTCCGGACCCTCTAACCCAGCATCCTACAGTGCGCGACGCCCCGCAAGCCTCTTCCCGGCAGGCGGACGGCTGTCGACGGCGCACGCGCTCTCAAGGAGCGACAGAGGTGGGAACGGCCGACAGAGGGCGCAGGCGCGCTGGCTGGGCAGACGAGGCGGGGCGCGCTCTGGGAAGGAGCTGGGGGCGGCGGCGGCGGCGGCGGCGGCGGG